AAATTCCATTCCCATCAACGGGAATTAAATGCGGATAGCAAGGCAGAGGGAGTAGCATTTGTATTGCCTTATCTAGGGAGCCTGTCACATACATGTTTGGCACTGATGGAGTTAACTCGCCTGACTTGCATGAGCATCAAGTACAGTCACAGGCAAAGAGCTGGGGAATGAACCTGGGAAAGCAACTGTCTCTGGGCGTTAGTAGGGGGAGCAGGCATAGATCACTCTGGGTTTGTCAGGGAGCTGTAATTGCTCTAAGGTGTGGCAAGCTGGTATCTCCAGTTCCTTCACTACATCCTGTCAGTGCCACAGGCCACCTGGTGCCACTCGGGACATTTCCTGGCTGGCGTGGGAGGACTTCTGCGTTCATGGGTGGGCAGCCCTGTATCCTGTCAATCTCAAGCCACCAGGCTCCTGCTTCCATTGTCTTCAGGGTAGCCCTCTCCGCTGGGGAAAGGAACGAAAGGAATCCAACACAGTCAAAGAGCAGCTGGAACTGCCGTGATACATCTGCTGCAGCCTGCCTGCTGCTCAAACAATACAAGGAGAACGAAGGTGATGGAGCAGGGCTAGTGGCTAGAGCAGGAAACCAGCCCTCAACATTCCTGATTCTTAACAGCTGTGTCACTGACAAAGGGGGAGTCACTTAAATGGGTTGCCTCAGTTTCACCAGCTGTAGGCCTGGAGGGAGAAATAAGGAATGTATCTGAAGCCCTTTAAGAGCTGCCCGGTGCTGTTGGTTCGAAGTGGAGGGAGGAAGCAAAGAGGCCTGGGAGCTCCTGGAGTGTGAGACCATAAAGATGTGGGAGTAAATTGCTGGGTGGGGCACTCTCACATCATCATAGATGTCGGCTTGATTTTTCACAATGGGGAAGTCTCCCCGGCCATCATGGAACTGATGGGCTTGTGGGACAGCCGGGCCACCTTCTTGGCTGACACATCATGGAGCGAGCCAGGGACCTCCTGAGCGTCAGTGTGAACTGCTACAGCTTGAGCTAAAGAGCCAAGCCACTCCAAGGAGGGCAGTAACAGACTCACAGCCTCTGCAAATGAGGCACAGAGGGGCCACCTGGTAACATGCACTCGAGAGTGGGTTACACTTGCACAGAAGATTTTCACTGCGGTGATTCAAAGTGCAGCGAAACCTCTTCCCTAGCACCTCACTGGCTAAGAATAAGGTCTTGTCTGCACACGGTGGGTTGCATCACTGTAGCTATGCCCAGACTAACCCATAGTGTAGAGAGGCCGCATCTACGTCAGAAGGGAGTGGCACTGGAGCAGTGCACCCCGGCTTGAACGTCAGCACCTCCAATTAGGTCCATGACCGAAATGCCAGTGTTCAAAGATCTCCAAGCTGCTGGGTCAGTCCAGTCTCCAGTGGCTACTTCTCCTCCTCCCAAAGTCACGTAACACGGATACCACGTGGCACGGATACCACGTGACACGGATACCATGTAACCCACGTCTGGGTTGTGACTGGTCAGGGGGATTTGGATAAAATGGCAGTGTGCTGGGTCAGGATGTAGGCGCATTGCCAGAGCTCACACACTAATGCGGGGTTGTAGCCAAAAGATACCCAGCCCTTGTTTTCAGGAGCTCAGTCCCCAGCAGTTTTAAATAATAAGAAGAGGTCCGGTTGGTTACTCTTCCAGATTTGGAAGCTTTCCTCCCAGCAGCAAAGATGACCTGTAACTTACCCTATCCCAGCAGGGTTTTTGCCTGCATAGAATGAGAAGAGTCTACTGCTCTGGCCTAGTAACGGAGAGTGCTGGGGGAGATGCTATTCCTGTCCCAGGAGGATTTTCAAGATTTCAGTGTTCCCCATCCCGAAACAAAAACCTGCAAAATCTCAATCCAAGTGTTTAATTCCCATTGCAACCTTTTCCATTGTTTGTTTTTTACTATAAATAAAATTTCACTGTGAAACAAAAAATCATTTTGGATCCTAAAAATGGAATTTTTGGTTTCAAAAGGGGACGTTTCAAATCAATTTTGAAACTTGAAAAAACAAATCAGCCTGGGGAAGTGATCAAAGCTGATCCTTGCTGAGGGAAAGATTCTGTTCCGACAAATTGCCCCTTTTCCGACTAACACACGTTTGTTGAAGAATTCCTGACCGCGGAGCTGCTCCCTTACAGCAGACGGAAGAGTCTTGTGCTGAGGTCCCCGGGTTCAGGCTCTGCCGCGGATTCTAGAGAGACGGCTACAGAGGCCTGGATTTTCAATCGTGCCTGCACACTTTTGTGCACACCTAGTTGTATACATGGCCCCTGCTTGAGTCTGCACGTTGTGCAGTGGGCACACGCTTGCCAGGCACATTCACACACACATGCACGTGCACGCACTCATTAGAAACCTTGTCTCCGAGTCCCCAGGCAAGTAACAACGATCCTAGAACTCTGGGTGGCTCTAAACGCCAAAGAACCAGCCTCTCAGAACGTAGGGCAAAATCCAGCCTGGGCCTAAGTGGGTACCATTCAATTGGCTTTGGCACAGTTGTGCCTGAGGATACCAGGGCTAGATGGTGCCTGTAGTCTTCAGGCACATAGACTCTGTTATGGCCAAGCAGGCCCCTGAGAGCCATGCAGTCAGGGCCCGGTTCCAGGCACCAGACGAGA